ACGCGCGCGCGTACACACACACACACACACAATCAGCACACACACACACACACACACACACACACACACACTCACTCACGCACACGCATATGCGCACACACTCGCACTCGCACAGAGCGAACGAGAGAGAGTTATTCTCGCACACAAGGACACAGTTACAACAACAGTCTTACCCACCTACTCTTTTTCGCGCGCTCTCTCTTTCTCTTTCGTTCTCCTCCTCTCTCTCACCCCCCTCTCTATCTGTGTCTCTCGGTCCCCTTCTCTCTCGCACTCAGACACAGAACTCAAACACTATACAGCGGACCGGCCCTGCGCGCCCTGAGGCGGACCGGTGAATAGATCAATTAACACAACTCATGCAAACAGGTGTCTAATTTGCTTAGAGCAGCCTAGCACCGGAGCCCCCAGAGCCGGCAGCGATTGAATACGTCTCTGTTTTCTCACGTCGCTTACGTACCGACAGACGCCTCCTCACACTCGCATGGTTGATGTTGATCTTTTGCATTCCGCCATACAGGAACATTGCGCGGGGCGTCTGCGTTCGTTCAGACCCGGTCTAGGCCGACGCCGCGAGAACGACGTGGCACGATTGTTTACGAAAAACAATGTGGGAAATAATAAACAAGAGAACGTTACATTCAAAGGCGGTTATAGACCTTCCTCCCGTTGTGGCTGACATTTTTAAATGTGAAAAATATGGCGGCGGCCGCGATCGTGTGGTGAAACCGATGTATAAAAGGAATGAATAATATCACTTTACTAGGAAAAACAGCAGGAAGAATAATATCAAGAAGAAGAAGAAGGACAAAAAGAAGAAGAAGAAGAATGATGTTACATTTCGTAGTGGTTATAGACACAAATATACCATCGTGCACCCTGAATTCTGCAATTAATATAGGTAGATAGTTGGATAGATGCGTGAGTGGATGGATGAATAGATATATAGGTAGACAGATATATAAATAGCTTGATAGATTGACAAACGGAAGAGCGGGCGGACAGATAGATAGATAGAAGATCGATAGATGGATAGATAGAAGATAGATAGATAGATATAGAGAGAGAGAGAGAGAGAGGAAGTTAGTGTCTCCCCCTGTTACACAGACACTGTGGTGAGTAGAGAGAGGAAGCTGGCATCCCGCATCCAGAAAGCACGAGCAGTTTGTTTGTACAGGCGGTCTTGTATTGGCAGTAGTAGAGCCAGCGTCGCCGTCTCTCGGCTGCTTTCATCTGTTCCCATGTTTACTATGATCCGCAACGCTCCACTGACAAATCAACAGTGCGCCGAAATTTTACGTCGCAACCGCACGGAGTACTACATAGATGGGAGAAGGAAACGGGAATATGTTAGAGAAGGGTTGGGAGGGTGCGTAAGGTGTGGCAGGGTGAACTGAATGATGAGGTGGAGGTGCTACGTGAGGGTGGAGGTGAGGTGAGGTAGGTGGAAGGTGACATTGACAGAAAGGCTGGTATATTGGGGTGGGGGTAGTTTGGAGCTAAAAACAGCTGAAAGCCAATGCTGGATGGAAGGCGGTGGTGATGGAAGGTAGGATAGATGGGAGATAAAGTAACCACCAAAGCTGGACATAGTTGGCGGCATTCCTGTTCGGTCCTAGCCATACGCGTTAGCTCCCCAACCCCACCCAATGATTTAATAAGTTTTATTGATCTAAATACAGAGCCTACGGGAAACATTAGTGACCCTGACCCAGCCTCCTCTGCCAGTAACTCCGGGAATGCAAATAGTTTTATTACCTGTGTTTAGTATTCCATTTGCAGGCGACTTACTTTCTAATCAGTGAAATGAAGAGAAAGAGCTTTAAAAATCATTAGCGGGTTATCGATTGAGATGAAAACTCTTTCAGCTTATTTTACTAGTATTCGCCGAACATTTTCGCGTTATAAGTGCCACGTAAAGGTCACGAAACGGTCATCTGAGATATCGTCTGTCATCGTGTTGCATGTTAGCATTTTGTTTTGCGGCGTAGCATAATGTATTGCAATGTAGGATATTGTACTGAAATGTGGCGTATTTGCATTGTAGCGCATTGTGTTGCATCGTAGTGTACTGCATCGCTATGTATTGTGTTTCAAAGTAGTGTATTGTGTTGTATTGTATGCTATTGCGTTGCATCGTAGCATATTGTATTGTGTTGTGGCGTATTGTGTTGCATTGTAGCGTATTGTGTTGCATTGGAGCATGTCCTGTTGCATTGTAGCACATCGTGTTGCATTGTAGCGCGTTATGTTGTGTCGTACCGCGTGTTGTGTCATGTCGTAGCATATTTGGTCATATATAGATCAGTGGATGCATCCGGCACAGATGCGCCACCCAGCGGCCACTGCTGTAACTACAGGTGAATTCACTGACAGGTGCGTCGATGTTCACACGTCAGTTTTCATCAGCGCTATAGTTGTTGTCGTGACAATCTTTTAATATTGTCGTGACAGATTTTTGTCGTGACGTTTTTGTCGTGACAGATCTTTTAATATTGTTTTCTGCTTCTCTCGCCGATGACGCGCGAAAACGTCACGAGAATCGCAGTTATCGCATATCCCAGCATGCAGCAGTGAAACGCCATTTCTAACACGTGACCGCCCACGTGATGTGTGAACTCTCACTATAATGTAGATGCGGCAAGTGTGCTAGCTATAATAAATGCCGAAGGTATATAGTAGTCAAATATAGTCAAATATAGTCAAATATAGTCAAATATAATCAAATATAGTAAAATATAGGTATAGTAATCAAATCTACGACCTGAGAGTTGTCACGGATGCGAGGTGCGAAGGTTTCAGATCGCACGGCTGGTTCATGGTTCGCGCGCAGTATGCGAGATGACAATAATAGATGCGGTAATATTACGTGTTACTCTCTCTGGTAAGGTGCGAATCTACGAGCAGATGATGAGCAGATCACACGTGCGTGCGTGCGTGTGTGAGCGTGCGCGTACGAGTGTGTGTGCGTCCGCGCGTGCGTGCGTGGTTGCGTGCGTGAGCGTCCGTGCGTGCGTGTATGAGCGTGCGCGCGTGCGTGCGCGTGCGTGCGTGTACGAGTGTGTGTGCGTTCGCGCGTGCGTGCGTGCATGAGTATGTGTTCGTGCGTGCGTGCGTGTGTGAGCGTGCGAGCGTGCGTGCGTGCTACGATACTACTGCTGACGGCCCATGTCTTCTCCGTCTCTCTCCGCGCTCGTCTGCAGCTGTCAAGCTGGTGGCGAGAGAGAGAGAGAGAGAGAGAGTGAGAGAAGGGGGGACCGGCTGTATGATAGATGACCCGATTGTACGTGTCTGCACGAGCTGAGAGCTATAGAGGTTATACATAGTAGCGGGACGTATGAACGACGTGGACGTAAGGACACGAGTTACAGAGGCACCCGAGCAGATAGACAGAGGGAGAATACGGTGACTGAATATTAGAATCCAGCCCTATTCTCCACGAGCAGATAAGAAACTAAGAGAGAGAGAGAGAGTGTTAGAAGTGAAGTTGCGTTTCGTGATATAGGGTAGAGTAAACGTTTGGGGTTATCTCTAATATTAGCGTTGCGTTGTGTAGGCATTTGGGTTGCAGGAAAGCACAAACAGAAGGCGGGGCAATAAGCGACAGCGGGGAGAAGTGTGAGTAGGGGGAGTGTTGTATATGCGTCCTCAGCGGGGATCCAGCCGTGCATCAGAGGGGAAATTCGGGCCTCTAGGAAACAACAAAGTGGAGGTTTGATGTGTTCACAAATGACTGCTTCGCGTTGTTTCACTCCTTTTTCGAATTGATTCTTGGATCGAGATGGGTCATGGCCCATGGATGCATCAGTGGTTGCACCCCCTCACTCTCTCTCTCTCTCTCTCTCTCTCTCTCTCTCTCTCTCTCTCTCTCTCTCTCTCTCT